GTCCTTTGCCCATTTATTAATTTGGATTGTTAATTTTCCTATAGATGAGTTTTGAGAATTGTTTATATATTCTGGATATCATTTGTCAGGTGATTTGCAAATATTTTCTCCTAGTCTGTAGTTTATCTTTTTATTTAACAGTATCTCTTACAAAGCAAAAGTTTTAATTTTTCATTAAAATGTATAGTTTATCAATTTTTTTATGGATTGTGCTGTTGGTGTCATGTCTAAGAACTCTTTGCCTAAAACCAGACCATAAAGATTTTCTTCTATGTATTTTTGTAGAACTTTTATAGTTTTATGTCTTACATTTAAATCTATGCTCCATTTTGAGTTAATTTTTGAATAAGATATAAGGTTTAGTGAAAGTCATTTTTTAATTTAATTTTATTTATTTTTCAGTTGCAGTTGACAGTCAATATTATGTTAGTTTCAGGTGTACAACACAGTGGTTACACATTTATATAACTTAAGAAGTGATCCTCCCAATAAGTCTAGTACCCATCTGACACCATACATAGTTATTACATTACTTAGTATATTCCCTATGTTCTATCAAAGTTATTATTATTATTATTATTATTATTATTATTATTTGTAGATGGATGTCCAATTTTCCAGCACCATCTATTGAAAAAAACTATCCTTTCTCTATTAATCACTTGGGCACATTTGTCAAAAATCAGCTCATCATTGTGTGGATCTATTTCTGGGTTATCTGTTTCATTTCCTTGATTTGTGTGTCTCTCTCTCCAACACCAGTCTTGATTACTATATCTGTATCAAGACAGACTGATTTCTCCCACTTTATTCTTTTTCAAAACTGCTTTAGCTATTCTGTTTCTTTTGCCTTTCCATATAAGTTTTAGAATCAGTGTGTTTATATCTACAAAAATATCCTTCTGGAATTTTTATTGGAATTACAGTTTAATCTGTACATCATTTTGGAGATAACTGACATCTTTATGATATTGAATCTTTCAGTCCATGAACATGGTATGTCTCTTCACTTATTTCAATCTTCTGTGATTTCTTTCATCATCATCAGATTACGTGCATATTTTGTTAGATTTATGCCTAAGAGTTTCATTTGTGGGGCAAGCGATTATAAAAGTATTGGTTTTTAAATTTTGGGTTCCAATTGTACATTGCTAGTCTATAGAAATGTGACTGATTTTGTGTGTTGACTTTGTATTCTGTGACCTTGCTAAACTCACTTATTAGAGGATTTTTTGGTATATTCTTTGGGATTATCTACATAGATTATCATGTCATCTGTGAATAGGGCTAGTTTGATTTTTTTCTTTCTAATCTTAATCTTTATGATTTTCCTTGCTCTCTTCCTTTCTTTTTTATTTATTTATTTTAAAGATTTTTATTGGGGAATTGGGCAAGGGGAGCATTGTGTTATTCCAGGACCCATCAGCTCCAAGTCAAGTTATTGTCTTTCAATCTTAGTTGTGGAGGGCGCAAGCTCAGCTCTAAGTCCAGTCGCCACTTTCAATCTAATTATGGGGAGGGGGGCGTAGTCCACCATCCTATACGGGTGTCGAACTGGCAACCTTGCTACTAAGAGCATGTGCTCTCATCAGCTCAACCGCAGCTCAGTTCAGGCGCAGCTCACTGGCCCATGTGGGAGTCGAACGGGCGACCCTGTTGCTCAGAGCTCGCACTCTAACCAACTGAACCACCTAGCCGGTCCTCTTTCTTTCTTTTTTAAATAAACTTTTTATTTAGAAATAATTTGAAACTTACAGAAAAGTTGCAAGAATAGTACCAAGACCCCATTCAGATTTCTCCAGTTGTCATAATAATAAACTTTGTAGGAACCTTTTCACACATTATACCCACTAGTCATATCTCTTTAGCCTTCTTTGACCTGGAATGGTTTCTCTGGTTTCCTTGACTTTTGTGACATTTAAAAACATTACTGGCTAATAGTTGTGTAGAATATCACTCTATCTGGGTCTTCCTTGCTTTTTCCTTTTCTTTTCCCCCCTCCTTGCCCTAGCTAGGACTTTTAGTATAATGTTGAATGGGAGAGGAGACAGCATATATTCTTGCCTGTTCTCAGTCCTGGGGGAAAACATTCAGTATTTCACCATTAAGTATGATGTTAACTATAGGTTTTTTGTAGATGTCCTTTATCAAGTTGAAGAAGTTCCCTTACATTCCTAATTTACTGAACTTTTTATTGTGAATGAACACTGAATTTTGTCAAATACTGTTTTACTCTTTCTGCATCCTTCATATAACCATGTGTTTGTTTGTTTTTTAGACTGTTGATTGGTGAATTATGTTGGTTCACTCTCAAATATTGAATCAGCCTTGCATTCCTGGGGAAAAAACCCATTTGGATTCAATTTACAAATGTTATTTTGAGAATGTTTGTGTTTATGTGCAAGAGGAGTATTGGTTAGGCCTATTCAAGTTATCACTTTCATCTGGTGAATTTAGGTAGTTTGTGATTTTTGAGGAATTGGTCCATTTTATCAAAGTTATTGAATTTGTATACAGAGACTTATTGATGATATTTTCTTTTATCCTTTTAATATCTGGAGAGTCTATACTTATTTCCTGTTTATTCCTGATATTGGTAATTTGTGCCTTCTCTCTCTTTTTTGTCCTTTTCATTTTATCAATTTTATTGATGTGTTCAAAGAACCATCTTGTGATTTCATTGACGTTCTCTATTTTTTTCCCCCTAATTTCATTTATTTCTGCTCTTATCTCTTCCTGTTTACTTTCTTCTGCCTGCTTTGGGTTTATTTTACTCTTCTGTTTCTATTTTCTTGAGGTGGAAGCTTATACTATTTATTTAAAATCTTTTATCTTTTCTAATAGGTATTTAATGCCCTAAATGTCCCTCTAAGTACTAATATAGCTGCGTCCCACAAATTTTGGCATGTTATCTTTTCAAATGCTCTCAGTTCCAAATATTTCTGTTATTATAGCTTCTTCTTATTTTCCTGCTGACCTTCATTTTTATTTGATATCGCTTCCCTTAATCCTGAAGTACTTCCTTTAGCGTTTCTCGTAGTATATTTCTGCTGGCAGCAAATTCACTAGCATTCATTTATCTGAAAATGCCTTTATCTCACCCTCCTTTTTTAAAGGACATTATCACTGGATATAGAATTGTAGGTTAACCGATTTTTTTTCTTTCACCAGTGTAAAGTGTGTTCCATTGTCTCTTTGTCTACATAATTTCTTGCGAGAAGCTAGCTGTCTTCCTTATGGCTCTTCTCTTATATGGCCTCCTCCCCACCAGCTCCTTTTAAGATTACCTCTTAATCTTTGATTTTCATCAGTTTGACCATACTGTTCCTGCATGTGGTTTTCTTTTTATTTTTCCTTCTTGGGGTTCACTGAGTTTCTTGGATCCATGTATTGATGTGCACCTCTAATGCACTGCATGTTTCTTCTTGGTGTGCATCCCTATATTGTGCCCCCATCCTGCCTTTGACAAACCATTGGGATGCCTCCAATTTCCCCACTAAAAACACTGTTGCCATGAGCATCCTTGTACAAGTCCCCTTAGCTGGGTAAGATTCTATTTGGGATTATAGAATCCAGAGTGAAACTGCTGGCTTGCAAGGTTTGCCTATACTAAACTTGACTGAGCGTTGCCAGATGTCTATATGGTGATGGTAATGATCTAGAAGAGAGGGAAGAAAGATGGTGGGAAAGGAGGAAAGAGGGGGGAGAATTGCTGGCGCATCATGCTGGAGTAGATTAGAGGGGCTGGGCTGGTACCTGCTGCACAAGTGGAGACATCAGCCAGGAACAGGGATGGTTCAACTCCAGAAAGGAGGGAAAGCGAAGGTCTGGGCGAGATGCAGGTGGATGGGTAGATGTGGTGGCAGGAACTTGGGGAAATTCCTTTGTGTGGTTTCTATTTTCTCGGCGATGTAGCAAGCAACCTGAGAGTCAGGATGGGGGAGGAGGTACTGGCAATTTAAAGAGAGGAAGGCATCAAGTAGCTGTCTTGGAGGCTGGGGGTCTGCATGACCAAGGCAGCAGAGTCAGTTGCTGGGCAGTTTGCAGGCTGCTGTCAGGTTAGTAAGAGCGGGCAGTGTTCATGGGAGAGGCTGTGCCTGGCACTGTGCTGGACTCTGAGGGCACAGGGTGGGCAGTGCAGGGGAGCTGCAGATCATTATGCACTCACTGTCCTCAGGGCCAGGGGAGGCTGGGGTGGTGGCAGCACCATGGGACTCATGCTTCCCGTCTTGGTAGGAAGGTCCATGGTTATGTGATCAGGCTGCTCAGCAGGTAATAGGTAGTCAGTGCTACTCTGTCTGTAGCTCTATTTTGTATTATAAAAGTGATGGATGCTTTACCAAAAGAAATTAGGAAAAAGTTTTAAAAAAATCAAATGAAAAGGTAAAGATCACCTGAAATCCATCCCTCCCCCCATCCCCACCCCCAGAGGTAGCCATGGTTAGTCAACATTTGGATGTGATGTTATTAAAGAGGGCTGGTCCTTACCCAACAGGCCCTTGAGGTCTGACCTCCTTTCCAAATGTGAGTAACACCTCCACCACCTGCAGCCAAGCAGCAGCATGTTAGGCTGGATGGGCCAAGAGGGGTGCCCTCCTCATTCCTGGCAGAAATCAGGGAGAACTGCACAAAGGAGGTGGCTAGGATTTGGGTATTGAAGGTGGAGCTTGTCTTGAGCTTGTCTTGCTGTCTCCCCTAGTTCAGTGTCTCTCCAGGACAAGTCCAGCTCCTAGCCTGCCCCACCATGTGTGGCTTACAGGGTGGGCACGCTCCAGGTGAGGTGAGTGGGGAGGGCCCACGCCATGTGGGAGCAGAGAGGTAGAGTATCCTGAGCGTGCTGCCACATGATAGCCCCTCCGTTCATGCAACTTGTGTGACCATACCTGGTAGTCATACAAAAAGAGCCCGTCCACCTCCGACATCAGCCTGGCACTCACCCTGCAGCAAAGTGGAGGAGGGGAGCGACATGTTCTCCCTCCTGGGTCTGTGTCCCCCTCCAGACAGCAGTGACAGTGAGCTGGAGCTATCCACAGTGCGCCACCAGCCAGAGGGGCTAGAGCAACTGCAAGCACAGACCAAGTTCACCAAGAGGGAGCTGCAGTCCCTCTACAGGGGCTTCAAGAACGTGAGTATCCCCACCCCCCAGGAGAGGCCCCAATCCACCCACACTTTTGTCCTGGCTCCAGGAAGGGGGCTCTGGCTCAGGCAGGACTTCTTGGAACTTTTCCATGGCACAGCAAATATCCCAGGTCCTTGATGGGGCTCATGTTTTGCGGGAGAGCCACCTGTGGGGTGGGCCAAGCCCCAGAATCAGTATTCTGAAGACCCCATGCTCCATTCCATGTGTCTCTGTGCTGACACAGAGTGTATGGAGGGACCGTACTGGCCTGAGGGACCAACTACACACCCATTTACCCCTCCTGCCTCGCCTCACCCCACCACCAGGCTTCCTAGGGCTCAGGGGAGCCCATCAATGCCTGAGGCAGCAGACATTCCCTGGAGGGAGGAGTCAGGGTGCAGGGCTGGGGGTGGCTGAGGTGGCTGAAAGGGTGACTTTCTGCTGCAGGAGTGTCCCTCGGGCCTAGTGGATGAAGACACCTTCAAACTCATTTATTCACAGTTCTTCCCTCAGGGAGGTGAGTCCGAGGCCAGCATCTCCCCCACTTCTCCCAAAGGGTCCCACCCCCCCCCCTGTGTCCCATGGCAGTTCTGCAGAGGGTGGGGATCCCTTTAATGGGAGGGGGACCCTCACCTCTACCTCTACCTTCTCCACCACCACTTGCCTTTTGAAAGCCTAGTGTTGCCTCTGTCCCATTGGAAGGGGGAACCCCATCCCAGGACACAGGTGTATACTCAGGTGGGGCTGCCTGGGCTGGGGGCTTTGCTGCCAGGCGGCCCCAACACACCCAGCCTACATCCTGGTTTCCCCTAGATGCCACCACCTATGCGCACTTCCTCTTCAACGCCTTTGATGCTGATGGGAATGGGGCCATTCACTTTGAGGTAGGTCTCTGCTGACCCCTCCCTTGTCCCCTGCAGCCTGCCCTGTTGCCATACATACCCTCCGGCTGTCTAGAGGGTCAGACGTGGTCCTGGTGTGCATGGCCCAGTGTGTCCCCAGGGAACTAGTGGACTGTGCTTGGCTGTCCCAGGCCTAATTGATGTCAGTGGAATCTGGTTTTGCTGTCTGGATACCCTGTTCCCAGCCTTGTCTTCCATTCCAGCCCTGCTGAGCCCAGGGAGCCACTGAGGCACCCTGAGGTGGTAGTGAGCCAGCGTGAACTTGCATTTGGAAAGGGAGCAAGGCCTCACTCCAAGATCTGTGCTAACGGTGGGGTTTCAGGCACCCAGCCCCCAAATTTGTCCACTTTCCAGGAAACAGCACCCAGACCCAAGCAGGCCCCTCTACCCCAGCCAGACACTGAGTGAGCCTGGTGACCCCACTGTCAAGAAGGAGAAGCCTGTCCCCCACACTGTCCCCCAGGAAGGCCTCGCCTGGCTCTGTGTGGGCGGCTGTGGGTCCCACCCAGGCCCCACCTACATATCATTTGAAGAAGGCCTGCCTGTGGAACCCAGGCCCCTAAAAATAGTTGCAGGTGAAAAAACTGAAACCTCTTTGGGGAGGAAAACCATGCTGAGAGCCGGGTGTGATCGATAACTGCTTGGCCCAAGGGCCAGGGGCAGTGACAGGAAAGCCGCAGGGCCAGCAGGACTCACAAATCCCCTGGATCAGCCTGGGGGGATAATAAAAACTCCCATCACTCGTCCTTTAATGCCACCAGCCCTGACACATAGACTGAGGCCACCACCCTGCTCACCAGGCTGGGAAACCACAGGGCCCCACCCTCTCCAGCCATACTCTTAAGGTTCGTGCATGTGTGAACATGCAGTGTTTTCATCTTTATTCTAAATGATACCCCGCACTGTAAAAATCCTATCCGTACAGAGGAGTACACAGGAAAAACTAATTGTCCCCCAGCCCCTCCCTTGTGACCAGTTTCTGGGGACCCTTCCCCAGGCACTGGAGACATCTGGGAGTGAAGTGTGGGAAGGTCCCTTGTGTGATGGAGCCACCAGGGCATTGTGGGTGGTTTCTGTGGTTCTGAAATCAGGATCAAATGGCTTAGCAGGGACCCTGGCATGTGGCAGGTGTCAGAAAGGCCAAGGTCACCCTCCCCAAGGGAGGGTCTTGCTGCCCCTTTAAGGTGGTAGGTGGTGGGCCTTTGGGTGGAGGGTGCTGTCAATGGCCGAGTTGGGGCACTGGTGCTGAAGCCCCTGTGACCGGCACCTTCTCAGAAGGCTGCTCCCTCAGGTGCGTGCTGGGCCTTCCTGTGCTTTTCTGCAGTCAAGTTAACCCTCTGGTTTCACATGGTGTATATTCAGCATGATTTTTGTGTCTGCTCTAAAAAGGCTTTTTCGGGAAGGGAGGAGGGCACATATTTCCCCACAGACCTTCCAACCAGCAGGCTCACGGAGACCAGGAAGCGTCCTGACGGGGCGGGGGTGACACTCGGCCCTCTCACAACCTCAGGGAAGCTCAGGGCGGCTTATAAGTATTTGCAGTGATCCCCAGTCCTTTTGTATATTCTTGAGAGACGAAACACACATTAATTGAAGTTTACTGATATGGTAAAATACTGTAACTTCCCTGCCCTCACCAAAAAGTCTAGCAGGAAATAAACTGGCAAACCCAGCAAACCTCAACAATGCCATATGGGGCCGTGGTCCCATGTCCCTGCTCAGAGCCTGCCTACTGCTCTGCAGGTGCTCCCGGGACCTCTGGGACATTCCCACTGGAGGAAGCTATGCTGGCCTCCCCAAGGCACAGGCCACGCCACACACAGACAGATGCCATAGGGCCTTCATAATTCTACTCACTCATCGTGCCAGTGCGGCCGCTCTTTGGGAGAGGTAGGGCCAGTGTGTGTGAGGAGGAGGCTGTGGCTGCCTCTGCTATATCCCTCCCCAGCAAGTAACCCTCTCCTAGGATCATTGACCACCCGGGGTGTGACTTCAGCAACAGAAAGAAGGCCTGTAGCCCCCATCACACCCTCTGCTCCCTCTCTGCTAACCTCTCCCATCTGCGCTCTACCTGGCCCCCTTGTGGGCACTCAGGGGTCACTGTCACTGCAGGAGCCCCTCGCCCTCCCTGGGCTCTGCCTCAGGGACAGCCACAGAACAGGGCTGTGGATGTGACAGGCCTCGTACACCTCAGAGTAAAGAGCAAAGAGTCACATGCAGCTGGCAACAGTCCCACATGCAACTATGCTATGTGGGCTGGCAATTTAGAACTAGCAAGCCGGCTGGACGGGGGTCCTCTGTGTGTTACTGAGGACGGGCCAGTGGCCTTGAAGGCACGTTCCCACCCACCTCTCTCCTAGTACCATCACTACTGTACCACACATGCTTAGGGACACTGAAAGGGGACAGTCCTCAGCTATGGCTGACCACAAGGGCTTCCACATGGCAGACCCTCCCATGGCCCACACAAGAAGGGCATCCTGTGCAGGACTCCATGGCTTTGAATCCCACTGGGAAAGCCTGTCAGACCCCAGGGAAGAGAGTGATGTGATCTGAGATGCTCTGACTCTTTACTACTAAGTAAGTCAGGCACAAGGCCCCAACTCGGGCATGAGAGAACTGTCACATGCTTTCTACTTGAATATACTTTCATTCGCTTCACTTACACACACACATGACTTTAAGAGTCCAATAAATTACAGGGTGTCCCTTGGAAAACATCATTTACCCACTCCACATACACCCAAGGAGGCAATCGCCTTCTCCTATTTCAGCCAGTTGTCACTCTGTCTCTGTGTCTGACCCCAGGAGCATGCATGCTTCTACAGCTCCTTCCTGACTGTCCCATCTTAGATGCAGCCCATCGACCCTTGCTATGGGTGGTGAGGACATGCGTCTCCCACACACACACTTCCCCCTCCCCCCAGCTTCCAACAGAAGTACAGGATTCAGAGGACAAGGACACACGGTTTACCCTGGACCTTGTAACTGTGAGCCCCAGCTGAGCCTTCCTGCACACTGTGATGATGCTTTCCTCCCCTGCACACATTCTTGGTTTGTCTGCTGTTGACAATTGCCCTGGGCTTGCATCTGCCTGGTGTCTGTGACCTCACCCTTAACTCATCCCCAGGCCCTTCTCCAGCTGTCTGGCTGGGCACCTCTCTGAGGACGCCTCCCCAGCCTCCTCATCTACTGGGACCCAACACAACCTGGGGTCTCCTGGTTCCTGAATCCCGTCACCTTCCTCTTTCTTGCTTTATTCATTCTTTTCTGGGGCGCATCTTCCAGCAGCTTCCTGAGAAAGAAAGCGTACATGCGAGGTGACTTTTGAGGCTTTGGATGTCTGGGAGCATCTTCATTCTGTTCTCACTGTTGCTTGTGGGACCAGACCTGCAGTGGGAGGCTGTGCGCCTTCAGAATGGTGGCTGTCACACACTGGCTACACACACACACACACACACACACACACACACACACACGCACACACACTCTCTGTTTGGTGTCAAAAGGCAAAGCCTGCTGATTCCTGGCCCTGTGTGCAGGACTTGATTCTGTTTTTTCTCTTCATTTTGCTTTTCTGTCCAGAAGCTTGTAGGATCCTTTTTTTGCCCCCAGTTTCTGGAAAAGGCATTAGGATGTTTGCCTGCAGGCAACACACTGCGGGGTGTTTGCAGGCATTGGGCGAGACCGCGGCCCACCTGCACACCCACAGCCTTCATCCTGGGAAACCTTCCCTTTTGACCTGCTTTCCTCCATGTCCTCTGTTCTTCCGGGCACTCCTGCTCTTTGAGTGGCAGTCCCTCCAGAGAAGGCCTCTCTTTCTCCTGTTTCACCCCTGTTTTCCAGCTCTGCCTTCCCCCTGCTTCATGGAACATTCTTCTTGCTTCTGTAACCTTTCTTCTGAGTGTGTCATTTTGCTTTCTTATTTTAATCCCCCAGAGCTCTTGTTCTCAAGAAAGAGCTCTGGGGAATTGTTCTTTTTTAATAGCCTCCTACTCTTTAGAGATGTCAGATTTCCAATCTCTGAATCTAATAGTTTTTTTTTTAAGTTGTTTTTTTTTCCCTCCTGGAATAATTTTTGTTTCTTCCAAATTGCTCTTCTCTGTTTCCCATCGTCTTTCTCTTTCGTGGCACAGCTTCCTCAGATCCATAAAATGTAAAATTTGAGTGAGGACTGAGCCCCATGGTGCGTGGCCCTGTCCCTCCGCACTCTGTAGTCTGGCACCCTCCTCCCTCTCTGGGACAGGCCTTCTCTGCCCTCCTTCTTTCAAAACAGCCTGGAGGGGCTGGCTTAGTGGCTCAGTTGGTTAAGAGCTCGCTCAAGAGTTTGAGCTCTGAGCAACAACAGTTCGAGTCTGGCCCAAGCTGAGCAGCCGCTGAGCTGCCAACAGGTGGCAGGATGGCTCAGCTAAAAAAAAAAAAAAATAAAAAAATAAATAAATAAATAAAATAAAATAAATAAAATTAATTAATTAATTAATTAATTAAAAAAAACAGCCTGGAGGACCCTGCGGGGCAGGGAGGCTCAATCTGCAAGCCTTCCGGGAGTGGAGGGAGACTTGTGTCCCACCAGCTGTTATAATAAACAGCTGGTGTTTCCACATGGAAGCCATTGAACATCTCTGCCTCGTCACACTAGTAATCCATTATCCATCAGAGGTTTGTCCCGATCCCAGAACTGAGCACTGTTAGCTTAGCTTTTGGAGCTGGGAGTTTTCAAGCACCCTGACATGCAGGTACTGGTAAACTACATGTGGAACACCCTTTTTATGAAAGAGCACCCCCAGGTGTCCTCTGTCACAGCACTGCATTACGTGGTCTGAGACACCATGTTTGAGTGTCTTTACCTAACAGGGTCAGTATTAGTCACCATGCCATCCCCACCACACACTCACACATGCACACACTCACGCATGCACTGACACACACATACACACACTCATGCATGTTCATGCACACACATGCACATGCTCGCATGCACACGCATTCATGCACACACATGCACACGCGCGCACACACACACACACACACACACACACACACACTGCCACCCTGATGGACACCGTCTGCCCACTTGGTATTAGAAACTCCTGCCTCTGGAGCTGTGAATTCAGTGGAAGCTACACAGGGACTGGGAATAGAATGTGGGTATCGCATTGTCACTCCTCACCCTCCCTTCCTCCCAGGACTTTGTGGTGGGCCTCTCCATCCTCCTGCGAGGAACAGTCCAGGAGAAGCTCAAGTGGGCCTTTAACCTCTATGACATTAATAAGGACGGCTACATCACCAAAGAGGTACGCAGTGGCTGGGGCACAGCTCGTCTGCCCCGCCCCACTGCTGCTGCCCAGGCTATCCTGTGTCCCCTCCCCACCCAGAGATGAGGGGTGGTGGGGACAACCACCAAGGGGCTCTCCTCCTTTCCCTGGCTGTCTGTCCTGGACCCCCGGGTGTGGGAGCATGGGGCTATGTGTCCCTTACACACATCTTGATCCAGTTCAACAAGTGTTCTCGGATCATCCTTCTTATAGGAGAGCCTGTGGGAGACACAGGTGAAGAAGCCACCAATTGAGAGCAGTGTGGTCCCTTAAGGCATGGGGGGGCCCTCACCACAGGGGCCACAGTCGGGGGGGGTTTGGCACCAGCACTTTTTGTATGTGAAATAGTTGCTTCAGTTTCAAATTTTGGAGACTGCCCTAAAACTCTGTCTCCACCTTCTCTGGGAGAGACTGAAGCTGGCCTTGGGCACAGCCAATGGGGCCCCTCCCACTGACTCATAGCTGCCCTGCAGGGGGCCCTCCTCTCTTAGATGCAACCCCCACCCCTCGGGCCCTTGCACCCCCATCCTTGCAACAGACTCAGACTCATGCCAGCCCTCCGCCCCTCTAGGAAATGCTGGCCATCATGAAGTCCATCTATGACATGATGGGCCGGTACACCTACCCACTCCTGCGGGAAGAAGCGCCTCTGGAGCATGTGGAGAGGTTCTTCCAGGTGAGTGCTCCAGCTCCAGGCACCCCTGGGCAAGCCACTCCGCTCTCTGGGCCTCCCCCTTCCATGAGGAGGTTAAACTGGCATGTCCCATCCGGCCCAGTGGTCAGGATCAAGGAGTGAATTAAAACACCATCCCCACTTCCTGACCCTGCCAGTGTTCTGGTGCCTTCCACAAGCTCCCCCAGTTCCCCCAGGAGGCTGTCTGTCTGAGAGGGGTGGGGTTGGGGTGACTTGTTTCTGTGTCCATGGGACATATGGCCCTCCTGCGCCTCAGCTGCTCCATGTACCCTGGCTGCCTGTCAGGGTGCATTCTGGGAAATGTAAGCCCAGTGTAAGAAGGTCATCAGAAGCAGATGGGGATGCAGGGCAGACTGGGGAGAGGTCAGCCATGAGATGGAGAGCAGAGTGGCTGAGGAAAGCATTTTATATGACTGGGATACAGAGTAGGGGACAGGTTGACAGGAGGGAGCCCACCCACTTCCATGTCCTCAGGCTTGGGGCAGGGGCTGTCCCTGGTGGTTCACAGACTCACCAAGGGCATGGCTTGGGTTGCAGAAAATGGACCGGAATCAGGATGGGGTGGTGACCATTGACGAGTTCCTGGAGACCTGCCAGAAGGTAGGTGGCCTCAGGGGCTGAAAACACCCAGTATCCTGCCCCTGCCAATTCTGGGCCCCTACCCATGCGCTCCTGCCAGCACAGCCCACTTGGGCATGTTGTCCCACAGCCCTGCCCCTGCATGCCTAGAGTCAGAGGGGCAGAGTTGGGGCCAATGGGAGGCTGATGAGGTCCTGTGGCCCTCATGTACAGTCATGCTGGGGCAGGGGACAGCCCCAGCTGCCTGCCTCACTCTCACAGTGGCCTCTGAGTCACCCCGGCCTCCATCAGGCTGCACGGCCTGTCTTGTCCGACAGTGAGACAGCTGCCCCAGATGAGCTATAGTCAGGCCGAGGGCCCAAGACAGGGTGTGCATGACCCATTCCTCCTCGGCAGACAGACAGACAGACAGACAGAACTGTCTCTGAAGGGTTTAGGCCCCTGATGAGAATCTGTTCAAGGTGGCCAGCGGTGAGCTCTGCCCTGCCCTGCCCATTCGGGGTCTGACCAGACCTCTCGTCCCCTCTCCACACAGGACGAGAACATCATGAGCTCCATGCAACTGTTCGAGAATGTCATCTAGGACATGTCGGGGATCCCTGAGTGGCCCTTGCCACCATGGCCCCCAAAGAAACCTCAGTCCTGCCAGGAGCAGCTTCCATGAGAAACATTTTTCTAATATACTTGCAAAGAGTGAACAGTTTGCTCCAGACACACACACACACACACACACACACACACACACACCATTCCTCTGGGCTGGCAGAGGGGGACCAAGGTCAGGGTGGGACTACATCTGGCTAGAAGCTGGGTCCAGATGATGTGAGCCACACTTCCCAGCCAGTCCTGTCCCAGGCCAGTGAGTGAGGCTGCCTCTGGGGTGGGCAGCTGGAAAAGCAGTGTCTGCTGGCTGCTGGCTGCTGGGTGTGAGCAGAAACGTGCTCCCTTCCCCTGCAGAGGAGGGTCCAGTCTCCAGAGCAAAGTCCCCTCCTGTGTGAGCCCATTGGACCCTCCCTCCTGCAACCCAGGGGCTGCTCTGGCCTCCATGTGCCTCCAGCCACTCCCTGCCCACTAACCATACTCCTAGAATGCCCCTCACCGGGCAGCTAGGGGGTCAAGGGTGTTCAGATTAGGATAGAGGTGTTGGAGGTGGGGCCTGCTGCTTCCTGGAAAGACACCCTGGGCGAGCTCTGCCCCACTGATAAGGGGTCATTGAGCCGCACTGTCCCTCCATCTCAGGAAGGGGGCCCTTCAAGCTTGGGGTTGGGTTTCCTGGTGGCCAATGTGAGGAGGACTGTCTGCCCACTGCAGTGGACGGGCGAGAAGCCCTCCCTTGCTTGCCCGGGCCTGGCTCAGGGGGTGCAGTGGGGCAGCTGCCCACACCCCTCAGACTAGGCTATTCACCCCAAGTTCATCATAGGTCCTGAGATGTGGTCATGTGGCTAAGGACTGGCAGCTGGAGAGCCCGGGTGACAAGCAGGCCTGGGAAGGGCTTCTCCCTCTCTCTGTCCTCTCCTGTATCACCCTTGGCCAAACAGTTCGGCTGAGCCCCCTTCCTAGTTAGGGTCCCGTAGCAGTGTGGCCACATCTCCACACGGGCTCACCCCAACCCCATCCAGAAAGCACAAGCCCCCACAGCAGCTCAGATCGAGCCCACGGGGAGAGCTGAGGACAGAAGCCCTCCTGGTGGCCTGAGGCCTGGGTCCCAACAGCCCTGATACAGGTGACCCAAGGAAGGAAGCTAGGGGTCAGTTCTGTGCCTCAGTACAGTGGGGGCTCAAAGCCCATCCCCAGCCCAGCTCACAATCACTCAAAAGCACAAATCCCAGGACTCTACTTGGCTGGGTTCTACTCTGGATGGGGTTGATTTCTGCCTGAGGTCAGAGCCAGCAGTCAGGGCTGACGGCCTGAGGCCGGTGTCAGGTCCACAGGAACTTCCAGGAGACAGGCAGAGAGAGAAGCAGCTCCCACCTGCCCAGGCAGCGTGGGCTCTTCCGAGGACATTCTCATACATACATTCCATCAGCTGCCACCCCATCTCTACTCAGGCCTGGCCCCAGAGTGAGCAGGACCCTTGAGAAAGGGCAAGATGGCGCAGGCCGTGGAGACTGGCCTGGCTCAGCTACGGGGACCCCTTGGCACCCACATACAGGTGGCCCTCCTCTTGGAGTTGCACTGACACCCCATCTCCAGTCTGACTGGGGGTCCCTCTCCCCTCCAGGAGGGCATCAGCTTTCCCTGGCTCAGGGATCTTCTCCCCCAACCCCAGCCCAGCCCTCCCAGCTGGTGTAGCTCTGCTTCTCAGGGGCCAAGGCCATAGGAGAGGGTCACCACCATGCTTCTGCCCCCCTTGGCCTCGGGCCAGCCTGGCTGCATGTCCAGCCAGGAGGGGCCTGTGTCCGACGCTGGGACACAGACTGGCCGCATGTCTGCATGGCAGAAGCGTCTCCCTTGGGCACAGCCTGGGAGGGTGGTTCCTGTTCTCAGCACCCACCCATATTCAGTCCTGTATATTTTAATAAAATAAACTTGACAAAGGAGAGGGACTCTTGTTGGCTCTGTCCTGACTGAATTTTGGTCCAGCCCCTCCCATCCCTGCTGTTATCCATAGCTCTGGCCCAGTGCTATGCTGGTAAGTGTTTAATGCCTGAATTGTAGCATCTGCCAAGTTCTGCACTTGATTTCAAGCTCCTGATGTGATGTCACCAAAGGCAGAGTTGGGAAGTGATGGCCGCACTTGAAAGCTTTTACAAGAAACACCAGACCTGTAGTGTCCATGCAGCGCTGGTGGGGCGGGGTGTCTTCTGGGGATTTTTGTATGTCATTTGTATGTCATTCCCAGATCATTCTTTTTCACCAGTTCCAGGAAGTAATTTCTGCATGTCCCCTCGCAGGGACACTGCATCCACTCGGCTGGAGGATGCAGGTCACAGAGCAGAAGCAGAATTTGCCTGAAGACATCTTCCTTTTCTGCTTTTTATTTTCAAAAGTGTAAACTCAGTAAGGGTTATGCCACGGAAGGGGTAAGAAATGAGAACCTGGGGAGAGGAGTGAAAGGAGGGTTCCCAACTCGGGAATGGGGACGAGGGAGGTTCTGGGGGGTCTGGCAGTGCTCGAAGGGCCAGGCCCCAGGCGATGTGACATCATCTCCACAGTGATGCAGACGCAAGCCTCCATGGGTCACCAGCTTTGGCTGATGGGCATTAGCCAGGAAGGCAGATGGCAGGACCCCCTTTCACCTCCACACACACCATAGGTTCCACCCAGCCTGAGCTCCAGGCCTTGGACAGTTCCAGAAAGGGAGCCAGACGTTGCCATCTTGGATGGGATAGCCTGCATTTGCCACGGGCTGGTCACTAAGCTGAGCCCGTTCACCCTGACCACATCCTGAGGGGCACATGATGCGGAAGATCAGCTGAAAGGTGTTAGGACCTCATTAAAGAGTGGAACCAGGACTCTGACACAGGATGGTGGCTCCAGGCTGAGCGTAAACACTGAATCACCCACTTCATGATGGGTCACAGAGCTCAGAACAGTGAAAGCCCATTTATCTATCATGCATCCATCTACCACCATCCACCACCATCCATCCACCATCCATTCACCATCTATCCATTCATGTATTCATCTGTCCATCCATCCATCCATCCATCCACCATCCAGCCTCCATCCATCCACCATCCAGCCTCCATCTATCCATCATCCATCCATCCATCCATCCATCCATCCATCCATCCATCCACCCATCCACCCATGTCTGTTTCCCATTCATTACTCAGCACCTTCCTGACCCAGACACTCAGTTCAGAGGGGGCATCTGGATTCTGTCCTCTGTGTGACTGAGTGACAGTGAGGGGTCTAGAAGGAGCCTTGGGTTCAGGGTCAGGAGACCTCAGTCCTGATCTGGGCGACAAGATTCATGTGGCCTTGGACAAGTTCCAGTCTCTCCTTCTCTCCCTCTCTCTGGGTGTTGGTGTAAGAGAAAAGAAGAGTGTGTGCCCCAGCTCACTTTAAAGGCTGGAATACCAGGATTTTTAAAACATCAGTCACGGATAGGATAAGAAAGAAAAATTACAGGACATTCTCAACTATAAACAAAGGTATAAAAATCAGAATATTATCTATCTCATTTCAACATTATATATACATGATATATATAACATATCATGACAGATCTGGGTTTATCCCAGAAATGAAAGATTCAACATTTTAAAATATAGACAATTTCACTTCAAGGGGTAAAAAGTATAACTATTGCACTGTGATATACAGCTGAAACTAATTCTAAAAATGCATTTCACAATAAAAAATAATTTAAAAAAAAATAATAAAATATAGACAATTTAGTTTCCAATATTATGGAGTATCTAGGAATCTAGGTTACTCTTTCCACTGGAAACAACTAAAAATCTGGTTTTGCCTGGGTCAGCGATAATCGCATGGACTTTGTCTGAACCAGCTGGTCATAAAGGGAATGTGAAGATTCCAGCTGCCTGCACAATTAGCTCAGCAGGGTTCCGAGATTGGAGAGGAGAGCAGGGAGATAGGTGGGGCCCAGTTGGCATAGGAAAGGGTGCCTGTGGCCTGTACCAGAGCCAGCATGGCCAGGAGTTACCCTGTGACTGCATAGGGCCAAGATGGGGTGTCTGGAAGAAACTCCACTCACCTCACCCACACCCTGCTTTCTCACAGGGAATTGCATATATGTCAAAGGGAAGATACAGGTCTAATTAGCTAGTGTCCAGAGCTGAGAGGTCCCAGAGAAGGGGCAGTGTAATAGGGCTGAGCCTGACAGGAGGCCCCGTGTGGCCCTGGAAAGTACTCAGGCTCCTCCCTGCACAGCCCTCTCTTGGGTGGCAGTGGCACCAGTCAGGAGACTGTTCAACACATAAACTCCCCGACAGCTCCCCCGACTGCCGAGGGCCATCAGTGCTAGAACTGGGCTCCCTGCCATCTGCCAGATGCTGTTTTATTCTGTCTGTTCCCAGCAGGAAACCCCAGCTTCCCTCTAACTAACCTGCCCCAGCCTTACCTGTCTTTGCTCTCGAACCTTGACCTGGGCACAGGGCTCTCTTTGTTCAGCTCTCTTGGCTGGCTTTGAAAATTACCAAACCTTCCTATGGATGCAGGATCTATGTCTCCCTCACCCCTCTGCCAGAGACGGCCCCGCCATCCCCACTTCACCCCCCTTCCATCCCTCACCCCCACCCAGGCAATAAAGGCCTTCAGGGTCTTCTGTCTCACAACATCCCTGGGCATCACGGGGGCACTGACGAAGGTCAGCTGATTGGACACCAATCTGCCTTGCCTGCAGTCTCTTCTTTTTCCTGTCAGTAGCCCTCAGTCTTCCTGGGGATCCCTCCCCCTATCTCTATCCAGGACACCTGGGACCCTAAGCCCATTGGTGCATGGCTATCACTGTCAGAGTGATGGGTTGAAGTGTGGGCACCTGACCTGATCACAGCCAACAAGGCCAGGGAGACCCGAGCTGGAAATGCTGGGAAAGGCTCTGTTCCCTCCCTGTCTGAAGCTGTGGGGTAAATCCTGGGCTGGTGCTGCCATTTTGTAGCTGTGGGGAGCTATGGGAATGAAGCCAGAGCAGAAAAAGTGCTGGCTGAGGGAGGAGACAGAAAAAGCAAGTGTGGTGGGGGAGAGGGGTCACCCTTGAGTTCAAAATCAAACTGCACCTTAGGTAAGCCCCTCCTAATCTCTAGACTCTTCACTTATAAGATCCACTCATAGGATCCCCCCACACCCCACACCTCCCCCCAAGCCAGTTAGAACTGGGCTGTCTGGCACTTTTAGCTGAAAAATTCTCAATTGCTACAGCTTCAACGTCAAGCTCAGCTGTGGGGTGGAATGAGCTTTCTAGATGCCAGTGAGCCCTGAGGGAAGGGGGGCCAGGCGCAAACATGCCCAGTGCTGTCTCCCCTACCAGACTGAGTGTATCTCGAAAGCAAGAGCCATGGTGTTCACCCCTGGGACCCCTGGAACCCCAGGAAGGCACTGTGGCTGGCACATGGGGGAGGGGGTGGTCGGTAATGCCGCTGGACTGAAGGTGGTGGGGAAGAAGGCACTGCAAGGGAGCAGGCAGCGCAGGGTCACAAGCCACTCTCTGGGGGCACCTGGGTCAAAGTCTGTTTGAAGCATTGGCCTGCATTGTGGGGTGCCTGAACCCACCTCCAGCCCAGCCCAGCCCTCTTCCACCTACTACTTCCCTTTCCTGAGCAATTCTGATTGTGTCCTGTGCTCAGGAGCACAGCTCACGAAGCCAGGCAGCGTTTCTAATCCCCTCCCCACCCCGCCATTTTTGAAAAAAAATCACCAAATACAGTAAAACATCCAGAAGCTAAAAATCAGGCCCCAAAGAGCAGGCCATCAGTCAATCCCCAGCAACCAACTGCCAGCCAATTAGGATGCAAAATCCTCAAGGCTCCTTTCCATTGGTTCTCACAAGTGGAGAACCCACTTCTCCATCTCTCTTGGTGGGTCAGGCTGGCACTTCAGTGAAACTAAGGGCTTTTCTCTTTGACTTCCTTCTTTTCCTGATCATTTCCTCCACAGGCTTCAAGAAGCTATCTAGGCTCTTACAATGATCAATATGCTCACTAGCTGCATTAATTGGCCAAGATATTGTATTTAACTTGTTTGTTTATGACAGTGTCAACAGCATGCTGGGTGATGCTGTAGACTCTCCCAGTTTTGCAATAGGAACATTCTTGGGGCGTTCCATTTTGAACAATCCTTATTCCCTGATGTCTACAATACCACCTTTCTGTTGTGGTTGTTCGAGGGTTGTAAAAGGATTCACAAAACAAAGTAGGACTTGAAGAGGAGAAGATATTAAGTATGCTCTAAGCAGAACGGGCAGTCTCAGAGAGACAACAGCCCCAATGAGGTGTGTCAGGGTTTTTAAAGCTATGTTTCTGAGTACATCTAGCAGGGAGCTTTTTGGGACGTAGTATTCTCAGACTTCAGTTGTTAGTTGTTGGGCAACCGCTGATGTAGACTCGGGGCACAATGTTCCCGGAATGCAACTGTTCACTGGACTGTAACTGCTGCTGTTACTGATGTTAACCATTACCTGATCACTTTCTTGTAGAGTTGCATGAATGTGGCCAAAGGAACAACTCCGTGTTTCTAAAAGGCCTAGAGAACATAGAGCGGGTGCCTCTCATCTTTCCCTTTGTGTTGGTCATTTTGGCAAATTACCAGAAGATGGCGGCTCTAGCCAAAATGCTAGTGCTCTTTGTAAATTCACTAATCTTTTCTTCTGCAACGTTGAATCTGCTATTAATCCACCTACTGTATTTTTCATCTCAGACAATACAGTTTACATCAATAGAATTGTTTGATTTGGGTCCTTTAAAAAATATCTTCCATGTCTCTACTTAATGTTTAACAGATGGAGTCCAGTTATAACTGTTATAATATCCTTGTCTATTCATGCTAACATCTTTCTTTTCTGAGTTGCATTAAATTGCTTGATTATTCTCACTATGGGTCATGTTTTCCTGTTTCTTTCCAAGCCTGGGTAATCTGTGATTTGATACCAAATCATCTTGTTGGCTACTGGATATACATTTTTGTAATTTCTAAAAACATGATTGAGCTTGGTCTGTGAGATAGTTAAGCTACTTGGAGACAGTCTGATCCTTTTGGGTCTTGATTTTATGATTTGACGGGCAGGTTTAGGGCTCATTACTTCCCACTACGGAGGCAAGACCTTTATGAGTATGCCACCCAACATCTCATGAATTCTGTGTTATTTTCAGTCCGACTAGTGGGAAGAGGCACTGTTCCTGGCCTTGCGCAATCTCTTGACACTGCTCTAATTTTTCCTGATGATTTTTTGCCTGGTCTCAGGTAGTGCCTTCCAGGCAAGCACTGCTCCGTACTCTGCTGAATACTCAAGGGAGAACCTCTACAGAACATGGAGTCCTCTTTCAGCCCAGGTCTCGTCTCTCCAATACTTGGTGAGACCAAGCCCTCAGCTCCATTACTATGACTCTTGGGGTATGCTGACTCGACCTCAGTGCCCCCTCCCTGTGCCACAGCCTGGAAACTCTCTCAAAGCATTAAGCTGGGGCACCACAGGGCTTGCTTCATTTGTTTCCTGTCTGCCTGAGGTCACTGTTCTTCATTGCTTGAGGTCCAATTTCTTGAAAATCCTGAGTGTGTATACTTTTGAGTTTTTTGGTTGTTTTATGCAGGAGGGTGAATTCCTTACCGGCTACTCCATCTTGTTCAAAGCAGAAATCCACTAGTTGGCATTTGGAAAGCATGGCCCCCTGACCTCTGCCTAAGTTATGTATTCCCGTCTCCCTGTTCTCTGCAGTCTCCCTGGCTGCACTCTGGTGCTTCCCACCCTTACATGGTGTGACTGGCATTTATGGCCAGGCTCTCTAGTACACTCCCCTGATCACACTCACCCCCCATAAGTTCCATTTCTATCTTTATGCTGACCTCTATCTTCAAGCCAGACTAGAGCCCCAGGCTCCAGACCCACGTCTCCAAACTTCCCACTCTGCAGTGCCCCCCTGAATGTCCCAAAAGGGTACATTTAATACAGTCCATCCAAAACTGAACTCAGCATCCTCTCCTCACATCTGCTGCCCCTCTAGAACCTGTTTCCATGAACGGCACTGCCATCTACCAGGCCAGAGACCTAGGAAGCAGCCTTGCACCTCCTTCCCCCTCATTTCCACTCCTGTCATCACTGAGGGTTGTCAGTTCTACCTCCTGAACATGTCTGGACTCTCATCATCTCAGCCGCACACCAAGCTACTGCTGCTCTCACCTCTCCCATTCTCACCCAGACACTTTTCCTCAAGTAAAAAAAAAACTACTCAGAAACAAGTGTAACCATGGCATCCCGTGAGGAGCTTTCAACGGCCTCCGGTGTGCTTAGATAAGGCTCAAACTCCTTCCTGGGACAAGTAAAGCCCTTGATGATCCTTGATTAAGTCTGGGACTTCTTACTCAGAGCCAGAGGCCTGGAGAGCTGGGTTGTAACTGCCTGATTATTTCAACCACCTCTCCACTAGAGCACCTGTTTTCTGACGCTGAAGCTTATGCCTCCCACTAACCCACCCTGTGCCCAGCACAGTGCATATGAAGACAGGGCTGCTGAGAGTGGGTGTAAAAGGCTGGACCTGGGGTCAAGAATGCTGGTTCCCCCCAGCCCCCTCACTGCCTGTGTCATCTTGAGCAAAGCACGTCCTGCCTCAGGTTCCTCTCAATGATATGCCAGAATCAGAAGACAAACAGATTTGTCTTTGTCAACCAGCGTGCTCTAATTTGGTTTCTTCCACCGCATTTGCCCAACGATCAGAACGGTACCCAGCCCAGAGGCAGGGATCCGACGCGGGGGAAGCCAGCGCGGCGCCCAGGGAGCAAAACGTCAGGAAGCACTCGCTCTCGGGTCAGTGAGAGCACACGGCGCAGTGAGCCTCACTAGCGCGGGTCCCACGAACAAGCCTGAAAGTCCGCAGGGGACACCACCTGCCCTCCAGCGCCGGGTCCGCCCCTCCTTACGTAACTTCCGGAACGGACAGGCGCCCTGCTGTTGGCCATCGTCCTGTGATGTCACCAGCGAGCGCCGCCTCGGCCGCGGTCTTATAAGAGGATCCTCGGGACACGCTGCCCTGGTGGTCCTCCGGGCTGGTCGCAGTCATTGGGTGTGACGCCAGTGCTTCTGCGCCCGCCGAGCTCAGGCCCCGGTCCCGCGAGCCTGGCCTGACAGCGTGGTGCGCCCGCACGACCGGCCGCTGCGGCCAGGTAGGTCGGGTTCGGGCCGTCGCGGGGAAGTCCCCGGCCCGAGGCCTCCGGTAGAGGGCAAGACTGGACCGGGTACAGTACGCGCTTTCAGAAACCACAGGATGAAGGATGGACTCCCTGGCTCCTAGTTGAGGGCCATGAAGTAGTCGCTCCTCTAAAAGCTTTCATTATGTGTCTTGAATTGAGCAAAACAAACAAATAAGCAAAAAACACCTTATAAAGTGTAACAGGGTAAATGACTTATAAATCTAGGCCACTTCCATGTGGTGTGCCAGGAATGGCTGATGGGGCAAAGGGATTTGTTTGCAGCTGGAGGAACTCTGGGGATCCTTGTAGTGGTTCCTGGCCCCTCAGTCCAGTGGACCCGCGTTTTTCTCCATAGACTCTGATGCTGTTCTCTGGTAGAAGAAGGCTGCTCACGCCTCTGCTGCAGGCTCAGCGGTGGCCCTTCCAACCCTCCAGAGACATGAGGCTGGTGCAGTTCCAGGCACCCCACCTAATGGGACCTCACCTGGGCCTGGAGTCAGGGAACCACGGGGGGGTCATCAACCTCAACGCCTTTGACCCCACAATGCCCAAGACGATGATGGAATTCCTGGAGCAGGGAGAGGCCACTCTCTCCGTGGCAAGAAGGTAAATCAGCAGGCAGCATCGCCCTGTAGCAGTGCCCTGTTTCCCTCTGCCTCCTCTTATCCCCATCCCTACCAGGGAAGCAGAACCAGCAGATAGCTCTTTTGCGAGAGCAGGGCAACCTCACCTTTCTCACCTGTTCTTAGTGAACAGCCTTAGAAATCTTATGTGACAGCGGCCTCAGTTTATTTATAGAGGGGAAAACCGGCCCAGGGAGGGTGATTATCTCAAGGCCACAAATTCAGTGATAGGCCAGTACTCTTTCATCATGCTGCCTTCCCTGGGGGATGAAGTTGCTGCCTTACCTGAGGGGTCTGGGGCCCGGGGTCCTAAGCAGCATCTTGGAAAGCTGGGGGACTGATTGGACTCTCGGCTCCTTAGGGGAGAGAGGACTGCAAAGAAGTTTTGGTGTGTGTTTTTTTAAGATTTTATTGGGGAATTGGGGGAGGGGAACAGCTTTGGGGAATCAGGAAAGGGAACAGACAAGTTGCTGTCCTTCAGTCTAGTTATGGAGGACGTCGCTTCACTGGCCCATGTTGGTATTATCATCGCGCTCTTCCCAGGTGAGGCAGTCACTCGCCGGCCATTGGACAGCTGCTCACGGCAGCTCAGGAAAGCTCACACCTGCTGCCGGCCAGCCTCACTGCAGCCTATGCTGTCGCCGGCAACTCGCAGCAGCCCAGCTCCAGGTCAAGCTGTTGTTCACCATCTTAGCTGGAGAGGGTCCAGCGTCACTGGCCCTCATGTGGGATCTGAACCAGGGTCCTGCTGCTCAGAGCTGGTGTCCCAAGCCAACTCTTAACCAATGCGCCTCTCGGCCAGCCCAAGAGGTTTTCTTAAAGATGGTTCTTGGGTTTGGGCTAGATTAGGTGGGGGCTTCCCTGAAGCCAGGAGCCCTATGGCATCTGGTCTAAAGGTGTGGATGAACAGTAAATTAAAGACCACTTTGAGGTATCATTTGCACCTTTTAAACTGGCAAACATACAAATGTTTGACAGCACAAGTGTTGGCAAGAGTATATTTTCCACACTTCATATTTTCCCAAATTGGAACCTACTTCCATGTCCCTCAATAGGGAATTGGGGGGTTTATCTACAGTGCAGTAATTTGCAGCCATACAACAAAAGGGGAGCTATATACTGTTACAGTGAGATCTTTAATATATATATATATATTTTTAAATAAGGTGTATATAATGTGCTATCATTCATAGAAAATGGTGGGAGAAGAGTATACGTAGAGTAGCTGTGAAGAGCTTTGCAGGACAGTGTGTCTCCAAGGCTGGAGTGGGGTGACGAGGAGAAGGGGTAGAAAAAAGACCTTTCTACTTCCCATTTGCACCTTCTGAATGCCCTTACATGGATATGTATTACCCGTCCATGGGGGAAAGGAAATCCACACTGGGTAAATAATAAACAGGGCTCTGATGTCAAAGGACAATAGCTGGCCTTGATTTTCACACTGACTCTGAAAGTCGAGAGATCTAGGAAATATATTTTAAACCAGCCAAACTTGTAGTTGCTGCAGGATCTCCCCAACACACCCCGAGACTGCCAGCCTGTTCCCAGTCAGCCCCTCTCTCCTGCTCTGTTCTCTTCAGAGCCCTGGCTGCCCAGTTGCCAGTCCTGCCACGGTCAGAGGTGACCTTCCTGGCTCCAGTCACACGACCAGACAAGGTGGTGTGCGTGGGCATGAATTATGTGGACCACTGCAAGGAACAGAATGTGCCCGTGCCCAAGGAGCCCATTATTTTCAGCAAGTTTGCCAGCTCCATCGTGGGTCCCTACGATGAGGTCGTCCTCCCGCCTGAGAGCAAGGTCAGTGCCTCTCCACTGTCCTCTCGAGTCACTGGGGCCCATCACAAGGTGTGCAGCATCCAGCCACCTGTTGCGAAGTAGTGCATTAAACAGAAACTACAGGGGCTCATACATGTTGTAACCCACCACATTCTTTTTGATATGCAAATGATCTCAATTTGGCCAGTGTGGGGCTTCAAGTTGGCCCCCATCCCATCATTGTTCCTAGCACTTCCTTGCTTTCTGGCCAAGCTAGCCCAGGCTCATCTTGTACTGTGTGGACCTGGAATTGGCCATTTTCTCCATTTAAGTGAGTTAATACACTAAAGCACTAGAATGGTGCCTGGAGCACGGTAGCACTAGCTGTTATCACTTGGTAGTCATCTTTTCTCAGAAGTATCCAGAATGACTTTTAAACTCAGCCCTCAGACAAGTATTGCTCCTCTGGTCCCATGAGGAGCTGTGCCTGCATCCAGCGGTGCTGCCTGCCACTGCGTGAAGTTTATGGGTCTGCAAGTCACACGCACCTGTGATTACGGCTGGACCAGGCTTGGTGTACAGCCCCAGGCCCCTGGCCAGGCTGTTTACTGCCCCTTTCCCACTCTATAGGAAGTGGACTGGGAGGTAGAGCTGGCCGTGGTCATTGGAAGGAAAGGCAAGCACATCAAGGTGAGAAGGCAGGCGTGGTGCCCGCTATCCTTGGCCTTGCGAAGTGGTCAGCCCCTACCTGCTGGGGGCATCTGCCTTGTCACTAGTGTGGGATAAAGGCTTTGTTACAGGGCTTGGCGTCACCGTGATATAACCTCCAACCTGGCCAAATCCCCTACCCACTATAGGCCACAGATGCCATGGCTCATGTGGCCGGCTTCACTGTGGCACATGACGTGAGTGCTCGTGACTGGCAAATGAGACGCAATGGAAAGCAGTGGCTGCTGGGAAAAACCTTTGACACCTTCTGCCCCCTGGGCCCTGCTTTGGTGACCAAGGACAGTGTAGCAGGTAGGTCTCTAACCGCCCATGTGATGACTCTTCTTGCTCTGCACAGATATATCAAAGAAAAAGCGCTCAGGAAGTGGAAGTGTGGGGATGGCTTGATATGGAGCCCCCTCCTCAGCTGCCTTTTACTGATTCCTTAGAGCAAGTCTTAACCTGCGCCACGAGTCCTCAGTGGGCCGCCCTCCTTCCACGTCCCCTAGAGGACTACAGCGGCAGAGGTGATAAATCTGCATTCACAAAGTGAATTACAGAAAATGGTGCTCCCCTAATGGGTGTCAGCCTTCCTCTAGCTGCCATCTGGGCATCTAGGTGGGAAGGAAGCAGAGCTGGCCCTGAGCATCACAGAGAACGGCTGTCACACAGCCTGTGCATTTCCCACAGTCAGGGAGATAGAAAGGGACAGGGCCTTGCCCAGCCGCTGTGTGACCAGGGCAGCACCAGCTACCAGAGCCAGGGCACCGGGAGCCAGGAGGACACGGTATGCAGAGGCCAGAGCGTGGCCATTTGGGTGGGGGTTTGTCCAGGCGGCTGAGCCTCACACCACCCTGTGCAGTTGAGTGAAGGCAGATTGTTCCAGCCGCTTTAAGGGGTGTTTGTGAGGGTGCAACACAAAGTGAAGTGTTAAAAAGTGCACCCCCGCCAGTGCCACGTGCAGGAGGCTCTCTGTTGCTTTACATGCCAAGTCTCCTTGTATCTGCAATCATCAGCCTCTGTGGTGGGGAGTCGGCCATTTTTTAAGGCAAAAAACAGCCATTTTTCTCCCCCTCTGGCGGGTGGGGTACACACCCCCTCAACTCACCCAAGTGGCCACTGGCAGGCCAAGTTGAGGAAGAACAGGAAGGACCCCAAGGTGGTGTTTTGCATTTCAGATCCACACAACTTAAAGATCTGCTGCCGCGTGAACGGGGAGGTGGTCCAGAGCAGCAACACCAACCAGATGGTGTTTAAGACGGAAGAGCTGATTGCCTGGGTCTCCCAGTACGTGGGGTGGAGCTCCGCCCCCACAGCCACCTGCAGCTGAGCTGAGCCCTCCATCCTGGCTGGGGCACCTCCGCCCCTGGTCTCAAACCTGGCCCTTTTGTCCCAGGTTCGTCACTCTCTATCCCGGGGACGTGATCCTGACAGGGACCCCGCCAGGTGTTGGTATATTCAGGAAACCTCCTGTCTTTCTCAAGGTAGGTTGGCTCAAAGGAGGAAAGGGAGAAGGACCAGAGGCTTGGCAGGCTGGGCCCAGACTTGGGAAATCCAGGCCTGTGTATGTGTAGGGGTGTGTGTGTGACAGGACTGACACCCTGGTGGCCACTCTGTTGCAGAAGGGCGATGAAGTCCAGTGTGAGATTGAAGAACTGGGTGTCATCATCAACAAGGTGGTATGATGGCTCCTGCCACAGGCACTGGACATTAGACAGGTGGGGCATCCGATCCCACTTAGCCCAGCACGGGGTCAAAGCGGGGGCCAGTACCAGCCCCCTCAAGGCTCCTCTTCAATAAACTCAGGCCAAAGCAGCAACTCGGCTTCTGCTACCTTGTATCTTTTACAGTTTGGGGGGGCAAGGTAGGTGTTGTGACAAGGTGGGGGTGGACAGCAGATACTTCCTACACACATGAGAAAGACGCTGCTGGGCCTGGGAAGTGGACTGATCCAGGCCCCTCGTGTATCACACCGAAAGATGGAGAAAGCAAGAGACAGCAAGGGACGATCAAACCTCAACACTTTTATAGTCCAGCCAAGGGTTTGCAGCCGCCTATCACCTGGCTCCAGGGCACAGTTACGTGTGTGGTGAGGCTGCGAAGTCTCAGCACTGGCTCCACCCCCCCAGTTCAGCCACAAATGAACTGCCGGATGAACTGTTCCAGCTTCTTTTGATTTTGCTGGCTGGCAAATGTAGGGGACAGGTGGAGCATGGGGCCTGCAGGGCTGGGCATCTGTTGCAGCACCTGGGCCATGCAGAAGGGCTGTGAGCACTCAACATGGGGACACCTGTGGTGACATCTGTGGCCCCTTAGGCCTTGGGATTTGAACACAAATGCTGCCTCTCAAACCACCCCTGTATCCCATCTGGGAGTAGGGATGAGACAGTGGTTTTGAGACCAAGAGGGGCAAGAAAACCATCCTACCTTCTCCAACTCCTGTCACCACACCTATTCTTGGGAGACACTGGGGAAATCCCGGGGTGGGCACAGGTGGGCTTCCCTGAGCTGCTCTATCAGGGTGTGGGCTGGGGGTGGAGGCAGGGGGAAAAGAGGAGGGTGAGACTGGCCCATCTTACCCCCAAGTCTCTGAAGGTCCAGACAGCCCTGATGGCGAGACTTGGGTCTGCACACTCTGGAGGGAAGAAAGAAGTGAGGGTGAGGGGCAGAGAGCCACCAGCACAGGCTTCTCTTCCTCTGACTGAAAGGAGCCACCCCAGCAGGGCTCAGACCGAACCCCAAGGGCCTCCATTCCCCAGCCCTCCTTCCTGGAGTAGGGCTGTCATGCCCAGCAGGTGGCAGCAAATCCCTGCCTCCTGGACCCTGGGTGGCTGCTTGGGGGTACTCACCAAAGAACCCGTCCTCCTGGGCAGTGGCCTGTAAGAACTGAAGGAGCTGCTCTGCGCAGCCCGACTCTGTAGGGAGAGGGGACTTAGGCCAGGCACAGGCAGAGCCCTGCCCTGTGCTCTCAGCCCCTGCTTGAAGACAGCCAGAGGGGTGCAGGCCTCACCTGTGTCGGGCAGCTGACCTCGGGGGAGGAAGGCGGCAGCCTGTGCAAAGGCCTTGAGAAGTGGGCTCAGCAGACGGCAGAGGAAGAGGAAGAAGTCGGGGCAGCGTGACTGCTGACTGAGCTGGAGGGAGACAGGCCAGGTGAGGGCAGCTCCCGCTGCCTCCCTATTGCCTCCCCGGTGGCTTCTCCCAACGCACCCTGAAGTACCGGCCCCCAGCTTCCTCGAAGTCATCACTCTCACTATCAGTAAAGTCCCCACTCGGTTTCCACAGCAGCTTGGCACTCAAACGCTGTCGCCCTGTATCACAGGCCAGCCGGGAGCCTGGGGTCTGGGGGCCAGGGGAGCCATTGGTCCCTGTCAGGCTGGCCAAGGTTCAGTCCTGAGCCCCTAAACCAGGCACACACAGGTGGAGCCAGTAAAAGCAGACCAAGAGGCCCCCTGGGGCCATGCCAGACTTGCTGAGCCAACCTGCAGGGCGAGAGGAAGTGGGTACCCACCCTCAAGGGCCACAGCCCTGTGGACAAGAAATGTGGGAGCAAGAGGTATACAGAGAACCTCAGAGGTAACATTTGTGCAGTCCTGTCATGATAGACACAGGGCCCAGGGCCAGTGTGGTTCAGCAAGTCCCAAGGCCTCGAGGAGTGGTCGAGGCAGGACCCAGGCTTCCCTGTCTGCCCCGCCCACAGCACAGGTGGGGCGGCTGTCCATCTGGGTTCCAGGCTGAGGGAGGCCAGCCCCAGGCAGGAGCTTTATCCCCAGTGGCCCTGCCTACCTCCTCTGCAACCAGGAGCCCACACTGGATGAGACGGTCCAGCACCTCCTGACAGTAGCAGTAGGAAGACTGGCAGGGCTGGGGGGAAAGGCTACCTCAGGAGAGCTGCTGATGGGTGGGTGGGGGGGTTGTCCTCCCACCACTCCCACCTCGGGGCGCCAGCCCAGTAGGTGGGCAGCAGACAGGGCCTGACCTGCAGCAGCAGCAGGTCCTGGGGCAACAGGTGCAGCAGCAGCAACACCTGGCGGTACAGCTCATTCTGACCCAGCAGCTCAACGCCCTGCAGCTCCCAGGGCCCCTCAGGTGGCACTCTGCCTGCCAGCAGTGCACGCACCGCACAGGCTGGGGAGAGGGCCGGGCATGAGGCAGGAAGCCAGCCCCTGCCTCACCCAACAACCAGAGCCCCAGCCAGGACTCACCGCCCACAGCTTCGCTCAGGAAGGCAGGCAGCAGCTCCGCGCTCAGGCGTGCCAAGTGCGCGAGGCCCGGCCCAGGCTGTGCCACCACCAGCAGGTCCCCATGGTGGACGCGCAGCACAGTCACTTGCGCCCGTAGCAGGCTCAGCGCGTGCTGCACCAGGCACCTCAGCTGTCCTGAGAAGCCCACGTCAAAGCCACGCAGCAGCGTCTCCTCTGTCAGCCAGGAGAACTCCCCCAGGAGCTGCGACAGGAAAACGCCCTGAAAGGGCAGTGCCAGGCTGAGTAGCAGGGCCACACCCTGGCCACATCCCAGCCCTGCACCAGTGCCTACCTTCTGGTGCTTAAACAGCAGCAGAGATGCCATGATAGCCGTGCTCATTACTGCAGAGCTCGCCACGCTGGCTGCAGCAGGGGTAGGGGGATGCTGGTCAGATGCCAGGGCACAGGCCCAGCAGGCGGTCCTCTATCACCCAGTAAGTGTCAGGGCCAAGAGCAATGGTCCCCTGCCTCCCTGGCAGCAGCCATCCCCAACCCAACTCCATCCCACAGAGGAGGAGAGCAGGCCTGCCTGGCCCTCAGAGGCCACCCTTGCCTGCCTCCCACAACCCAGCCACAAACCCAGTCACTGCCAGAGGGGCACCTAAGACGACAGCAGTAACAATCATTCTGTTCAGAGTACCCTCTGTACCAGGCAGTGGTAAGTCCCTCATGTGCATCATTCTGTTCAGTCATCATCGCCCCTTTACAGCTCAGGAGACCAGGCTCAGGTGAAGTGGAGCCCAAGGCAGGGCCAGGGTGGGTGGACTGCACATGGGCATATGTCCCCCTGCAAAGCCACAGCTCGGGCGGCCATCTGTGCACTCACTAGCAGCTCCCTCGTGCCCCACCTGACACCCTACCAACCCAGAGAGAAGGGATGGCTCAGGACCCTCCCCCCAAGGCCCAGACCTAGCTGCCCTCACCATTCAGGACATGACGGCCCAACCTCCTGACCAGGAGCTGGTCCTCTTCCTTGAGGGCCAGAAGGGGCCCAGTTACTGGGGTCCACTCCTGCTCCTTCTCAGTGTCTGGGATGACAGTACTGGGATAGAAACATCACAGGGTGAAGGGAGCCAACATCAAGACAAAGACAGCCATGGGGAAGACCAGAGCTTTCTCAAAAGTGAAGGTGTTAGCCCAGCCCAGCCCAGGGACAGCTCCTGGGGCCCCAGTCTCCGCCAGGGCTCTGCCATTTCCCACACTCAGATTACAGGCACTGCTCCAGATGACCCAGCATATCTGATGAGGGGCGGCTGGAACTGGTGGTGCCTGTGGGTTGGGACAGAGGACCGCCTGCGAGCCCCACCTGTGGCCCAGCACAATGGGCTGCAGCAACTGCTCCAGGGTCTGCCTGCTGCCCCAGCAGCTTCGGGCATTGTTGGTGTATTCCTGCCCAGGAAAAGGCTCTCAGGTGGCCTGCCTGCCCACCAGGAAACTTGTGCACAGCTCACTGAGGCAGGCGAGGCTATCCCTGCAGGGGCTCTGAGGGCCAGGCTGCCAGAAGCCCCAGGACAGACCCCAGGCCCTCCCAGCTTTGCCCAATAGACTCCATACCTGCAGAGAGAAGGGCTGGGCCAGGTGCACACGGACACAGACCCTGCGACCGCGCCAGCCTCGCAGGCTCCGCAGGATAGCCAGAGCTCCTGTCCACAGCCCCAGGGGGGGTGCAACCTGCAGGCAGGGAGGGGCTGAGGGAGCTGGCTCGCCTGGGACACTGCTCTCTGCTCAGCTTCATCTTGGGCCCAAACTGGCACATGACCATGGCCCCTCCAAGCTTGTTTTCTCATCCATGAAACAAGAGAAATCCCTCCCTAGTGGGGTCTTTTGAGGATGAAACAGAATGACTATAGCAGCCTGGGCGGGCACCACAGGATAGTGACTGTCGGGGCAGAATTCTTGGGCACCCCCAACCCCAGCCCTGAGGGGCACTTGGCCATAGGACACAATGTTGTGCCTCCTGTCTGGAGCTGATGTCTACATGGGGTCCCAAGGAGCAGGAGGGTCTCACATGGTATGTGTCACATGGTGCGTCTGGTACCAGGTCATAGGTGATAGCCACTGGCACCAGCATAGCATCTGGGACAGCACCCCCCTGGACCGCCTGCACCACCAGTCCCAGCCAGGCCTGGCCCAGGGCTGACAGCCGAGCCCCCTGGGCCCCAGGGGGCTCTTCCAAGAAGATGAGCAGGGGCTGTCCACTGACCAGCAGCTGCTCCACAGCCTGAAGAGGGTGGGGAGGTGGTGGCAGAGGCAGGTGTCAAGGCCAGAGCAGCAACAGGCCCCTATGCCCTGGCCTGGCCCCAAACACAAGCACTGGGGGTACTCACCACGTGGACCACGGACCTTGCAAGGACCCCCTCAGAGCTGTCCAGGGAGAGGTTGGCCTCAGGGGGCAGGAAAAGCCCCCCAAGCTTCCTCAGCAGAGCTCTGTGGGGCACAGGGCAGACACAGCTTGATGAGGAAAGGGGCTCAGGAGATGGGACCAAGCAGAGGCTGGTGAGAGCCTCAGCCCACCCAGGGCCAGCCTGGGTCCTGCCTGAACACACTGAGGCCAGGCATGGCTCTAGGACCATAGCTG